CACCTGGTAGACTTTGCTCGCTCTTCTCTCAGCTGGTCTGTCGTCCATCTGAGATTCACCTTGACCTAGAGTGGGGTTCAAACTGTTTCAAACACATACACAACACATTTCAGGTAAACGTTGTTACATTTCTCTGTGACGCTATCATCCAACCTCATGGATACTAAGGCAGTAAAGGCTCAAAGTGCCTTATTTCCTTCAAATCCACACCGAAAAGACTTCAGCAGCTGACTGAGGCAGAGCTAAACAATTGGAAGTGGTTGTCGAAAATGTGTTTGCTGTAATGTAATGGATTAACTGTATTCCCTATAGAAATAAAGATAGGAAAGGAAAATCCGCGTTATTTGTTGAATTGGTCATCGTGTACCCAATAAGGCATTTTGGTCTTTAGGTACTGCTTCCATCTGATCCTAAGCATTATCCAGTGTTTAAAAATAGACCATTGTACAGAAGCTGTACAGATGTAAAAGTCTGATAAGACCTAAGATCATAAAGCTTTATCTCAGGGATTTTCTAAGCTCGACTCAATCCATAGCAGTGGATAGACATGTTTGTGTGTTCCACAGAGAACGACACAACACAAGTAGGAAAGCGCAGAGAGGGGGCAGGGAAAGACGTTGTGCTGCTGTGTTAATCCTGCAATTAAGAACTTAATGAAATAAAAGGCTTAAAAACAAGTGACTCCTCAACTCCAAGGATGGAGGAGGAGTGAGGTAACCTGGATATAAAAAGAAAGCCCTGGGTGTAGGAAATATAGTCGAAGATTTGGCTTGAATACCTCAGGAAAAGCTTGCCATTACATGTCTCTTTTGTCTTACAGGTAGGCATACATTCATTTGAATTAATGTATGTGTGGGCGGTCAGTATGGAGCATATGAATAATAAAGGGCCCCTTCAGTAATCTCAGTGTTTACATTGGCCGATCAGTCGCCACTCATTTTTAAATGAACCTATATGGAATCTATATTTTAAACATCACGGCATTTCACACTTCTAATAGCTTCATGTTATACCTGGTGTGGTGTGTAATCCTATTTCCATCATGTTTCATTTACAGTGCTTTAAAAAGGTACAGGTACATTGTGTAAAATATCGCTTTAGACAGTATATTATGCAGCTTACCTGTGTGAGGCAGGAATACAGCTCATCTTGAATGCATCATAAAGGACCCTAAGGCCCAGAGATCCAAAACAAGAAGGTATTCCAAAAAGTCCAACAAGCTGGACTATTTTCTTTGAAAGTCTATATTCTTTGAAAGTCGGCCACACTTTGCTGTCAGTCCCTTTCTCTTCACTCCTTCTGCCAGTCACAGATTCAGAATCCCATCATCCCCTCCTCTAATTTGTCTCCTCCCCTCCCTTGATTTTCTCAGAGTGGTCCACTCAGTGACGCACACAACAATGCACATCCACATGGAACCTGCCTCCCAAGCTGACAGGCTTAGTGTCACCTTCCATTAGAAGCAGAGCCTGGATGACATGTGAGGTTGAGCAGCACAGGCCTCCCTCGCACATTCAGATTACCAGGTTAGCTGTCCTTGCTGACATAGGGGTTATGTTACTTCAGAGGCTTGTCAACCAAATCATTCAGTTTTCTGAAGTTGTGCCAGATTATGAAAACCACAGATAAGGCTAATTTATAAGGATTGAACAACATTTTGAAGTAAAGGCATGTATTTTTGGGTATTTTAAACGAGAGAGTGTGGTGCATCTAAGGCAGACGATTACTCTCACTTTGAACTGAGTCAAGAAATTAAAAAAAATGGCTGTCTATACTGATAAGTGTCTGTATACTGATAAATGTCTGTCTATACAGACACTTTAGTTTAATAGGAGTTATTTTCTCGTCTGACCAGCAGGTGGTGCTATTACATCTATGACAGTACTGTTCTCTGAACTGTAACCACAGATGAATAAGTACTTTTACAAATAATATGGTTTTAAAAAACTCCAATGTTACTTAACTGAAAGTACAAAAGTAGTATAGCCTAAATGTACTTAAAGTATCAAAAGTAACAGTTCTTTAAATACAGAATGTCTCTTTTTACAGTATTATATTTGTATGCAATATTATATTATCCTGTTTCTATCACTAAGAAATGAATGTGAGAGGGATGATAAATTTTAATTTTATGTCTGTTAAAAATCGAGGTTGCTAACACGTGACTAAATGAGACTGCTAAATGTCATCACGCCAAACACGGGTCCACCTTTAGCTTAGTGTTGTAGATATGAAGTCATGGCCCCTTGATGTAGTTTGTTATTAGCTTTATATTAGCCATTCCAGCGATTGCATTTATGCTTCAAGAATCATAACACTTATGTTAATAATGATACCCTGAGGAAAACAACATGGAAGTAGCATTAAAGTATGTTTGCCAGAGGGATCTTTTTATGCAATATTCCAAAATACATTGGTTAATCCCATTGCTTTTTGTCAAACAGTGCTAACCATGACGATGCTAACTTCCGGTTCGACCTTAGGAAATCACAGCACCACTCTGTTGTAGGCTACTCTCCATAGATCATGTCCTGTCATGTTCATTGGGGATATTTGATAAAAATCAGCCTCAGGGGGAATTAAGTAAAACATTTGGAAATTGTTCACTAAGACTTAGATAAGTGTTACATTTTGAAGCCATAACCCAAGAGGGGATGTTGTCGATGCTTTTGAGCAGAGCTGGTAAACAGTACAGTAGCTATGCACTATAACATATACCTATACAGCTATGGTCCTGGTGATCATCAAAGTGCTTGAGATACAAATACTGACAATTGTTCTTTCTATTGGCAAATGGCAATATTAATGGATGTCGACAGGAAGGCACAATTCAAATGTGATTTCAATGTAGTGGGGAACTGGCCAAATGGCACTTCCTACATCCAAGTTCACAATATTCATATAAGCAATATAGCATGTAAGTATCCAATGTAGTCATATAAAGATGGCAGAATAAAGTTAATAATAATGGAGTTACGTGTTTATTAATTATGAGGGTTTGTACACAAGTCAGGATGTACGATACGCAGTGGTCACCAACCAGTCGATCGCGATCGACCGGTCGATCGTGAGTGTGGTGCGGGTAGATCGCGGACCGTTAACAAAAAAAGTAACAAAAGAAAGAAAAAGAAAAGAAAAATAATAATGTTTGAAAAATATGTTTTTAGATGTAAACATATCATCCACCACCCCGTTAGCAGGTGCCACTTGATTGACGTATATTTGAGACACCTCAATAATATAATACATTAACCGTGCTTTATGTGAACCTCATCATGACACAAGAGACAACGGCAGGACTGTAATTTCCCGTCCCTGCTGAAAAAACCAGCTTAGACCAACAAGGCTTGTCTGGCTGGTCAGGCCAGTCAATATTAGGCTGGATTAGTTGGCTGGTTAAGAGGGGTTTTGGACAGTTTGGCTGGTCAGGATAGCTGGTTTGGTCACCATTAGCTGGTCGGGATAGCTGGTTTAGCTGGTAAAAGCTGGTGGTCACAGTGGTCTAGCTAGTCAGGATTGCTGGTTTGGTCACAGTGGTCTAGCTGGTTACCATTAGCTGGTC